GTTCCTTTGTCTTGGTGACGTTGAAGAGAAGGTGACTGATCTCGATGTGGAGTGTACAGACTGTGTTGTCGCAGCAGAGCATGTGCCAGAGAACCACACTGTTTGGCAGCTGGATTGTGTGATCTGTGTCTTATATATTTGGTGGTTGATCACAACCCCATGTCCTATATCTAACTGAGATGAAGTAGACAAGCTGATATTTGTGTGTTTCTGCTATAGTTGTGTGTGAACGCATTGTATTCTCAAGTTTACATTGGACTTAAACTGAATGCTTCTAATTTCTCGTTTTTATATGGTTAAGCTCTTATTTGTTGTGTGGGCCCCCTCAGTGTTTTGGCTTTATTTTATTTTTTAGCTTTTATTGCTTTTATTGCCTCTATTGGATAGTAGCAGCTGAAGAGGAACCCGGATGCTGCAGTAAGGAATCAGCCTTTGTACATGGGACCTGCGCTCTACCAGGTGAGCTACCATAGTGCCCCAATTTGGTTTTATTGTATAACTGTGAGGGACAAAGCTTTATGAGATTGCATGCAAACTTAAGTAATTATAGTGTTACTGTTAAGTATCAGTGTTATAAACCTAGAGGACTAATTTGACCTCTTATCTGTTGAAAGGAGCTGTCCAGTTTTTTCCCTGTGTAATATCGCTGTTAAGTTAATATACGCTCGGAATTAAGTGAAATATTATTGAAATTGCAATATGGCAAGTAAATTGCAGAAGCTGCAATTTTTGGATAAAGGTCAGATTTGTGACAAAACTGCATTATAATATACATAGAATATATTTTTTTAAATATGTAAAAGTAGATGTGAAGAGATATCCTGTCCAATCTTGTTCTCTAGATTTACGAAAACATGTTTGTTTGGTTCAGAAAGATTTTTTTTACCATAACGTGCAACATTAAGTAAAAGACATCTTTTGAATAACATGGTATTTTACTTAGCTCTCCAAGTGACCAGATTAATAGGTGTAATTGAGATAATACACTGTAGTTAGATTTTGCTAAAGCTCTCAAGTCACCCCTCCAAAAAACCAAGCTGTCTCATGGCTACTGCAGTCACAGCTTCTTTAAACTAGCTTTGTTAAAATTTAACCTTCTTTAAAACTGCTCACGCAGGCATGAAAAGCACAGTTTATAGGACTCTGGGAAAGCATAATTCCACACACCCTTTAAAGATATAGGAAGAAAAGAAAGAATCAGGGCAGGTCAGCTGGTTCAGTCTGGCCTGCTGGGACCTGCAGAGCCACCAACCTATGTCACCTGTCTCTCTTAGCTCAGCTGGGACCTCCCCGGTCACTTATTTTAAAATTTCTAGCTATCCTAGCTTTGACTTTGGCGTAGTAACCTTCAAAATGAGTAATTCCTCATTTGAATATATATATTTGGATATTATATAGTCTAGACTATTTATTAAAGCCTATAGCTCATTAGGTGACTGCACGGACAAATAAAGGGAGGACAAATATATAGATAACCTCCAGCACCTTGATTAAAGAGCACACTAATACAGCGTTTTAAAAGGAGGGGAAAAAATGGAAAAGAGAAGACAAAACATCAAAGGGCACTGCTTACAATCATACAAATATATGTTATTTTATTGAATAATATTCCATAATAAGACATCTCCTTTCAATTCATGTAGGAGTTATTGTAGAAATGTACACAGGTCTGATGGCAAACATGGAGAGAGGGTGAATTGAGGGCTTGTGTCTGCAGATGCTGAGAGGGAGTCATCCCTAATGAGCCAAAGAACAGTGACGTATGCATGCTTTGCCAAAAAAAATCCCATGTCAGTCTAGACAATTAGCAGTTATTATTGCAGACCACTGGTTGCCTTTGTAGCCTGCAATTCCTGATTGTAGTTTGTTAGCCTGTTGAATATTTTCCTCTTCCTTGAGTGCAGGCTGGTAGTTCTCGTTGCATATTGCTGGTCTTTATTCCTGTTTGCTGTTTCCCGAAGTGGTCATAAAAAGCCAGTGCATTCCTGCCGCTTGCTTTGGCTCTCATTGTAAGAGTCCAACATGTGTCTAAATCCCTGGTAACACTTAGAAGGTGCCTGAGGATTCAGGCCTTCTCTCTGTGGCTAATCAGTGCCAAGGCCCATTTTTATTTATGGCTTTTTTTTATTTTGTTCTTTTTTTTTTTTCATTGTCAGTTTTTCGGAAGACAAGAAGATTGGAGTTAAACCAAGAAGAGTCCATAAGAGTAGGATAGAGAGAGGTTGTGGGTACTTTCTGGAAGACTTGCGTGACCGTAACTCTGAGACCAGCAAGGTCCTTGCTGTCTGTGACAGGACACATGTTGGCTTTAGGAGTTGTTACCCTGCTGTTTTCACTTGAATACATTACATCTTTCACAAACACACAACTCAGTCGCACAGTGGGACTCAGTTTGGGTGAAGTTCACTCAGGGGGACACATCAGTGTGGATACAACAGTGCAGACCAAAGACAAAAATACATCAAATAGGGAGAACAACAATAACTCTTCCTCCTTTTTAAGGGGTGTGCATTAGAAAGGAAACATGACAATGTAGAACAACTGAAAGACAATAAAAAAAAATCGTCAACACCAACTATTTAAGTACACATCTGAAAAAAAAAACTAGACCTGACATAATACATCAGATATACACTATTTGTATTATTAACAGAACGTACATGTAAACTGGCAGCATTCCGTACATTTAAGCCATCCAGACAGGTTTTGTGGTCTGGAAGCATGCTGCTACGTTATAGAGAGAAATTTTACATCCTTCACATTTTTAGCATTGCTCAAAGATGCCACTCACTTGAAGAGGATAAATATGATGCTGCAGCAGCAAAAAATAGTCAGGACAAAATAAATGGCTTCTTCTGGCTTGTGGCATTTAATACGAATGCTTATTTAATTAGGAATATTTAAACACAGTGTTGCAGCCAAGGCGCAACCTTTTTGGTGTATCAATCTCGGCTTTCAATATTTAATACAGAGGGACAGTGAGTGTGGCACACATCCATTTTGTATTGTAATTTAAAGAATGGTTTAGATTTAAATTTAATGGGGTTTGTGTAATTTAGTTGCCACAAACTGTTCCAAAACATTAGATTTATAGTTTCTAATCCCACTTGGAAGAAAAACTGAAAGATTTTATGATGCTAAGCATTGTTTTGTTTATTCAATTTATTGTTATAATAAAATTCTTCTGTACGGAATTCTGTCATGTACAAATTAGTTGTGACACATAAAATAATTCAATAGGGAAGCACCAATCGAGTGTAAAGAGCTATTGTATTTGGAAGTGTTGCACATAATCAATAACAGGGCATTGTAACCACATTTGGAAGCCATCATGCATGTGTTATCATCACATTACAGCATGATGTAAACAACTGAACCTCATCATAAATTGCAGTAAATAAAAGAGTGAAGCACTACACTGTTACATTCTGTGTGAAAATGTGACTATTATATCTCAGCCCAGTAAAACCGCTTCAAGTGTGATTGGATTGATGTTTAGAAATGATGCCTACAAACCAGACAGTGTTTGTTTATGCCCATCATTAACAGTCTTTTAGAAACCAAGTGCTTCCATTAGAGGGAGCCAGTTATACACAGATTTTACCCATAAATTGACAAACTGCATGGTACACATTTCAGTATGCATACCGGTTAGAACATGTCGGCAACTTGGCACAGCAGTATTTGGGGGCAATATATTGACGCAGACTGCAAATACATGCAGCATATGAGAATATAACGCTAGAATAAATGGTGATTTTGGACAGTGATGAGTTTCTGTTTGATCACAAGGGTCTTATTTAAAGTTGGATCATTCTGTTTTTCTGATTTTCTGTTTTTTTGGTAATTCACAAAAGGACCAGAGCATCATTTGAAATTTCTACATTTTAAACACCTTGATTACAAAAAGACAACAACACAATCCCGAGTACAGACTTTATAAAATCTTAAAATCCAAAGATGCATAGCTCGCAATGGTGTCATGTTGCACACATTAATTTAACAGAAAATAGTATTGTTATACTGTACTCGCTAATTAATGACTGTGATTAAAATGCCTAGTTGGTTCTTCAGTTTAAATCAAATGTTACCAAGGTTCCCTGGATGTTGGTAGTTGTTGTACTGTGCAACAAAAGCATTAAATCTGCACTGCACTAACCCTAAGACTGGTGATGACTTAGCTGCAGTATAATATCATTATTGCCTCTTTTTCCCCACTAACTCGTGATAAAGTAGAGGGATTCCCTGTTTCTTTGTTTGTTTGTTTGTATGTTTGCTATAATCTCTTAAGAACCTCCTAAGACAAACTTTAAAAAAAAGTGTGCCTCCAGTTCTCCAGTGGCTTTTAGAAGGCCAGGTTTAGGGACGTGGTTAATGTTATGCACCTGCACTACCTTTAGCAGATATGTGTCTCAAATGATGGTGCATGGAATGCCTGCTGATGCTCCCACTGTTTCAAACAAGAGGAAAGTGTTTGTCAGGCCCAATGTAGAGGCCCTGAGGAAAAACTCCTTCCTCTGTTGTCGTCTAACTGAGTTCACAGGTAGGAATCAAACAGTCCTCTGAGTTCATTATGAACAAATGGATTTTGCTGTCTCTGGCAGACCTTGGGGAAATTTTTGCACCCATCGCAGGGTGGCTGTTCTCTCGTTTGTGTTTTATTGAGTCTATCGATCATTGTTTCAATCTCATGCCCTTTCTTTTTCTCCTTGCCTCTCTGTCTTGTCTTACCTTACTCTTAATCATAGATACACACACACAAACACACACACACACACACACAGAAACACAGACCTTATAAACACACTGTAAGTATACACCTACACAGGCAACATAGTGTTGAAAAGAAAGTTAATGGGCTGTAGATACTGTAGGCTGCGGTTAAGGAGATGTGTGTAGGAAAGGGATTACGACTTTAAATCTCTCATGCGTGGGCACACAAACTATATCGGTATTTTCATTTTCCATGTTACCACCTCGCTGTTAGCTTTGCAAAATAAATGTATCGTCAATGGAAAACAGAACACTGTCTGACTTCTTCAAACAACAGACCCTCTTAATGCCTCTTCTACTCTACGGTTAGCATTTTCTATCGACTTTACGCAACCTTCCTTTCCCAGAAATTTTACATTCAAGATCCTGACCAGTGTCTGACCTTCTGTTGCCTTCATTGCACTTACTCGTCTCTGAACCTCTCGACATCCTTTACTTCACATTCATCGTATTTTAATCTTCCTGTCTTACATTCTACCTCGTTCACGTCACATTCAACATCAGTCTACTATACATGCTCTGTTCTTGTCTGTCTACTTGCAGTATCACCGTCGGACAACTTGCTGTGGCGTTCTTCGCTATTACAATAGTAAGGACTGCTCGCTTTTTGGGAAAGAAATCTATGGAGCATTTGGATCTTTGGATTATATGTTTAACATAAGAAGGGGCATGAGTAAAGTCATTGTGAGGTTTAATTCTAAATCTGCTTACTTTCTATCTGCTTTAATGCACTGTAAAGTAGAGCTGCAACAATTAGCCAATAGAAAATTAATCAGCAACTATTTCAATAATCGTTTTTGTCATTTTTTAAGCAAAAGTGTCCCAAAATATGTCTGGTTCTAGCACCAGGAATGTGTTGATTTGATTAGACTTTTCTCTGTTTTATATCATGTAAACTGAATGTTTGGACTGCCAGTTGGACAAAATAAGACATTTGAACATGTCTCATTTGGCATGCAAGGTTCCTTGCTGTCAGCCACTCACTGCTTTGCACCTCCAAGTGCTTTCCTTTTATAGAACGGGACTTACCATCAACTTCGAAATGTGAACTGGCATGAAGAAGCTCCCAGATGGAATACACTAAGACTGTATGAGTCCTGACAGCTATAATAAGTCCATAGCATTGTGTACTACCTGCTGTGCACACACTTTGATATCATACAGCAGGTAGTAATGCACAGTTAGACACCATGCTAGGCTGCGCCAAATTCACCAGAGAGAGGGAGCATTGGCTTGTACAGTAAACAAAAAATGGAGATTTCATTTAGCAAAATCTGCTACAAGGACAAACTATCCAAATGTGAAGTGAATGATGTCCCCCCTGGAAAAGGCCAGAAAATTAGAGACTTAATGAAAAAAATGCAAAGCTCCAAGTAATTTCCTCCATAGACTCCCTGTCATAAAAAGCGTGCAGTGCCTTACATGCCTCTTTGTCTTACAATAATTATCATATCCACATGCCGCATAAAACCCTGCCAAGTATTTTGCTTACTTTACTGCAGAAATTTCTTATCAACATTCCTCAAGAATACACCTGCTAATCCTTCACTCTTTCTAAATAACTGCCTCCATGCGCTGACCTCTTTACAATTCATCACCCTATTTCAGACTTACTCTCAGCCTCAATGCAGCACATTCATAAAGCCTCTGTTTCACATTCTGTAACCCTCCTTCACATTATGCTACCCATAAAATTAGACACCATCCCAATGCTTTGAACCTCCTAGAGATTATCTGTGATTTTTAGCGACCATATAATGAGCATTTTTTACAGTTTGCTTTCCACATCCAGCGTAGCTCTTTCTGACATAGCAAGGGACTTACTGCTGTCTGTGTTTGTTGGTGGTATCCTTGCACATTCGCTTTGACTGAACATTGCGGTGACATTTTTTTCACTCGGCGCGTTACCAGAGCAGGCAGCACCCTACAGCAGCCATCATTGACATGACAACAAGCCCTGACAGCTCCCATTTAGAAGCCTCAACTTCTATCAGGTCATTGCATAATTGTTCTAAAATTTAATCTGATTGAGAGACCTTGTGCATATCTAAACATTAGTTGATTGCACATAAACGGAATATATGATATCATGAGTCAGTCCCCTTGAGTTTGCCCAGTTTACCCCTTCCCTGATTTTTTTGTTGGTAAATGGTACATAAGACGGTTGTTCACCTAGTATCACCGTTTGACAGACATGTCAAAGACACAATGTTGTGTCCTGTCTGAAGGACATGGTAGAGGTTACCCACAGTATCTCTGTCTATCCTCTGTACGGGCACTCATTCACACAGAGATCTCTTACAGTGCATCCATACTGCAGAAGATCCACACACAGGGGTTAAAACACAATCACATCAAGACTTTCATTCAGACAACTACATTTTTTGAGGGTGATTCTTCCAAGGTGATTTGATAAAGCTAGCGAGTGGATAAGCTGCCAGACATCCTCAGAATAACAAGTGCTCCAGCTCAGAGGCTCCTCTGGCTTTGATGTTTGCTTCAAACCTGGCTTTATGCTGACAGCAGATGCTGAGTGAAGTACACACTACGGCTCCTTTTTCAGGTGACTGAGTTCAGATCCACTCTGGATTTAAAACGCGACCCAGTTGTTAATTTGTAGCCTTTTAACAAGCTAGTGCAATATAAAAAGTGGTCACCTGGTTGAGAAGACAGGCTAGAAAGAGGGTGCCGTTCACTCTCTCACTCATTCACACACTTGTTTTTTGTTTTTGTCTTCACTGAGAATTATCTTCTGGCTTGCTGGTACAAATATTGCTCAGGCGTTTTTACTATATCCACAAGGAGTTGAAAAACTCCACTATTTTATGGCTCACCTTCCCAGGAAGAATATTTTTTTTATTTATTTTTTTTTTCATATTATACTCATGCAAGCAGTGCCTCTCTAGTGAGCTTCATAAACTTCCTATTATAATCGTCTCTATCATCATCGTACTCATCTTTTACATCGTTTCCATACCCGCGTTCATTTCGATGTCATTCATTAATTCCAATTGTTATCACAGGATTGGTCTAAATTATTCACACAAAAAAGTTCTTTAATGCAGCTGTTATTTTGTCCACACATCTTCTCAAACACTCATCTTGCTCAGCTGACCTGACCTGACCCAGGATTCCTGCTGATCTTCCCTCTCTGCCCCATTTCATCTCACTTTGAACTTTAGTTGACCTTGGTGATTAGCTCAGCTGGTCGGCAGATGGTGGGTGGAAAAGCTGGCTGAGCCACACTGTCACCAACTTTAGGGCTCAAGAGGGGGCCCACGGGTGAGGATTATGATGCCGAGTCAGCGCTGGAAATGCGCGCGTAGTGAATATACAGTACAATAAAGCAGACGGTGGGTAGGCATGTGAGAAAAGATGGAATTGTTGGTGGGACAAAGAAGCTTCAGCGTGATAGAGAAACGAAGGAGACTGTGCGTTAGGGAGTCACAGGGGGCAGAGAAAGAGGCAAACAGTGGGAGGGGGAGGTGGTAGTAGTTCTTGCTATGGCCCTGGGCTTTCTTTCTGTGGTGACAGGTGTGGGGGGGGGGGGGGGACTCTTCTCTCAGGCCTTCTCGGCTGCTGATGTACTGCTGACTCTTTTATCCCTCAGCATCTTGTAGTGCACTTCTAGAATGTGGTGGCCAGTGAGGGCCATTCCCTCAGCCACCCTCAGTGCGTAATGGGCAACTGTGTTCCCAGTGTCACTGCTGCCCTTTGTCCCACCCTCAGTCTCCTGTGCTATGAGGCATCAGCCTTAGGAGCTTCTTTCCGTCCATTCTTTAGGGACGGCGAATCTGACGTCTTCACTGTCTTCCGAGGAGGACTTACTGGTTCACTGGCGAGCTCATGTAGCGATGGCTCCTTATACATCGCAACTGTGTGACGAAGATAGAAACTATTGGTTAATAATTAAGAAGGTGATTAATAACTAAGATAAACTGGTTTTAATTAAAGTGACACAAGGGACACAAACCCTCTATAACTTTAGGCAGGAAGTGTGCAGCTCCTTTGGTCTTCTTTACCCGGTTGCCCTTCATGATCTGGCCGTCACGGTTGATACCGATATACCAGGAGCGGCCAGACTGGGTCTGGCGATAGAGCATGGAGGAGTATGTAACGTAGTAGTTCTCAAACACACTCTCCTTGAACTTACACTCTGGAGTGAAATGCTCCTGAAAAGAAATATGCAAAAGGAGAAGGGGGGGGGGGCATTCATATTAGCAAACAAAGCAAAATAATGTGCAAATGTCATGAGAAAACTGTAAGATTTTTATCAGGCTTTGAACATGAACTCCAGTACAAGTAAGCACACACAAAAATACATGGACACCAGCAGTGAAATACATTAATTGGGTGAGTGTTTCCTGAGGGAAAGGATGGATAGAATTCTTTGAATTCTTTAAAAGCGTGAACATCCTGGTCCTTTGGGACCAGCAAGACAATATACATACTATATGTGGAGAAACAGCAGTAACATCTCTGCTAAACATAATAAATTCCCACAGGAAAGGAGCTGAGAAGCAGCAATGAAACACACACCAGAACTAAAACAAATTCAATACACATACATACATTACATACTGTAAATGTAAATGACTGCAGTGACTGCTTCTGAGGCATCCCAAGTTCAGAAAACCAACTTACCTAGCTAGGTCTTTAGGACATTTGTAGGTTTGTGTGTATGAACAAAATCCCAAGCAAATATTCACATTCAAGAAGTTGGAACCAGAACATTTTTTGCAGTTTTGCTTAAAAAAATTACTTGATAATATAATAAATAATTATTCGATTATTAAATATAAATATATTTGTTGCTGATTTATTTGATTAAGTCGATCAAGTAGTCAATTAATCAATAATTTTAGCTCTGATTTAAAGACTTTATTTAGTTGGTATATTATCAGGGTGGAAAAGGGAAAACATGTTTAGAGGGGAAACTGACGGTTTGGAACTGCTCACAGCTCCTGTGATTATGGGTCGTAAATAGACACTACTTTATTTTAAAGGGGTAACCAGCCGAAAAGATTGGGAACCACTACATTGACAATTTTTTTAGACTCTGGGTATGTAGAAACAATAGTTAAATTCAGCCCCTTTATTCCCCCAAAAGAGTATTATCCCTTATATATAGGCTACTCTCATGTACTGTCAATTGTCCATGACTGGCTAAATGTGAATAGACATTTCAAAATCAAATTAGCAAAACTTGGATCAAATCCAACAGTATAGCCGCTCGTTGTAAACGATCATGTTCCAGCAGCACTTCCCCTCCCTCTCTGTCCTCAACATAAGGACTACTGAACCCTGCATAATACTGACTGGTGATATTAACCAATAGCGACAGATATACATCTCTCTTAGTCTCCATCAGGGTCTTGACAGGGTCCTTCCCCTGTCAGAGAGCAAAGCCAATGTGCTGGATTGATTAAGTGAGAGCAGCAGAGCAGAAATGGCTGAGTGGAGAATGTCTGTGAGACTCGGGGTGACAGAAGAGGGCCAAAAGATCACAACTTGGCATAGGCGAGCTTTAATAAAGAGCAAAAAGTAGATTGAGAAGGTATAAGAGACCTCCAGTTTCACACTTATCACAGATCATCACCTTTCTCCTTCACAGGAAGGCATCATCCTTAAGCTGAGAAGGCAATTCAGGACTTTGTGCCCTTTATCCGTCCACTCCTTTCTTGCGGCTCCACCACAGTTTATGCCCTTTTAACTTCTGTCTTGCCCCCATAAGATAAAAAAACAAAATAAAACAAGCCCCTACCTTTAACTCAACAAACTCTCCCACTACCATCACCACCACATCGCAGAGCTATTTTAAGATCCTCTGACAGGTTTGATATCTTCTGCTGTGCTAACACAAAGAGGATGGGATCGATAGATGATCTGCTTCATTCATTATTAATCAGGCCAGAGAGCAAGAGGGGTGGGAAGTGCAGGAGACAGAAGGGGAAAGGTAGGAGAGACAGGAAAGAGAGGAGAAGATCACTCGGAGAGGACAGAGGGGTTGCTGGGTAATAAAGGAGATTAAGAAGAGAGAGAAAGGGAGAGGTCTGCTTTGCATCTCCCCCAGGGCCAAGGCAGGAACACTGGGCTGGCAGTGGCTTTAGTCACCAGCACCCCATGCTCTAACACTCATGTCCCTCTGGAAAGAGAACCCATCACTCCAGCAAAATACCTTTCAGCTCAACCTCTGAAATGACACCGTTGATAACCCCTCTCCCAAGTCATCCTATAATTGCCCTTTATAATCAGTCCCCTGAAATTAGCCTAATGACAGAACCCACACACAAAAAGTCTCCAATGGTCTGGAAGGAAAGAAAATACACTGAGAAAGCATACAAGACAATTTAATGAATGTCCTGATATGACTGTCCCTAACTGATAGAAATATTTTGCTGTAATTACCCCCAATTCACCTTGAGGTAACCTCAAAACCACAGCAGAACTACAGAGACCACCAAGGGTGTACTGACTGAAGGTATCACTCAAACTACCAGATGTACCTGCGCAGATGAATAATTACTGAGGATGTGTTGAGGGTTGCACATTTTTAAGAGCAATGGGGGAATATTTACATCTAACCGCTGGGTGCTTGGACTAGAAATTAAATAAAAAGCTCTTTCTTCAACCGTGACTTATTGAGAGACTTGGGTAGCTTCCCTTCTATGTGTCTCGAGCCAAAAATGAATTTAAATGAAAGCAGACGACAAAGGTAATATGTAGCGTCCGTGCTGAGAATCCCCAAGATGGGAAGAACCTTTTTATGATGCAGAGCAGCGCCCCGACCCCCCCGCCCACACACACCACCTCCTTCCTCATCTCTCGTGTCTGATTACATCGATTCTACCTGCTTCAGGAAGCTTAACTCTCCATGCCACCATACACTGGGATTGCACTTACGACCAAATAAGGACAGCAGAGTACTAATAATACGCACTCATAGGGCAGAGTTCCCTTAATGTGACATCTTTCCCTGCATATAATTAGGATATAAGAGCAGGAATGACAATTATGGCCAAAAAGATGAAGTGAAGCCATGAATAATGTTTAATATCTTGTTTACTTTCATTTCATCACACATGCAAAAGCATGAAATAACTACTAACACCCCTGAAAATGAAGCTCTACTTCTGGAATTCAAAACACGTTTTAGCATTTCTGACGTGCAATTATTTGCAGTCCCCTATTTAGACAGCAGGGGTCACAGTGTCATACAGGCTTCCTGCATCTATTGACTGTCCCATCAAGCCCACCAGTGTAATCTATGGGGTGCTATGAATTCTGCCTTTCCACAGTACTGCGTTACTGCTGCAACACCCCACTTCTGTCATAACATGAAATGCAAACTCATTTACAACAACGCTCTGTTACACACACATAGACACATGCACATAATCTGTGAGTGTATGCAATGCAGAACACCGCCAGCAGGGCGTATTGCTAATGTTGTTGTCGAGGGCCAGATGTAGATGCACTATGACACGCCACGTTACGTAAGTCAATAGGGCATAGACGTGCTTATTAAGAGAGTTTACAGAAGATGAGACTGGCAGTTAATAATGTCTAGCACCACACATGTATGGTCTGTCTCTAATGCTTTATGATAGCCCAGGGAGGCATGCTGCTCGCATGACAAGAGCAGAGTGGATAGTGATGTGCGGGGGACTCATGCCTCCGCCGTGTTGACTGACAGCTGGAAGGCCCCTGTCAATATAATGTATCTGAGAGAGGAGTGGTAGCTGACATTCCCTTTTTGACCCTCAATGACAGAGGTGACACACTGCCTGCTGCCTTTATCAGAAATCACCCTGCTTTTAATTTTCTAGGACACAAAAAGGGGTGGTTGATTCTGTGTCATCATCATCATCACCATAGGTCTGCCATTTTGGAAGGAGAGCACTGTTACAAGGTATATCGTGAGTCAATCAGAAAGAATAGGTTTTGCCTCCCCTAAGTGCTCTTAATTGGCTGCCTGGCAAAGTGTCTGTCTTTATCATTGTGTTTCCGCACTTCATCTCTTTTCTCTTGCTCTGGCCAATTATTCTCTCTGCTACTTTTTCTAATGTCCACATTTTATCCAGTCCTGTGATAAAAGCGATGCTATCTTGCTGCTGGTGTCGTCCTGCATCTCAATGCAATCCTCCCACGAAAAGAATAGAAAGGACACAGCTTTTCATCAAGAAGTCTCATGCTCTTTCTCTTTCTTTGTCCCACTCTGGTGTCTTTGTGTGTGTTTTTCTCTCTTTCTCTATCACACACAAGTATCACAGCCCCACACAGATGACAAGAAGTCATATTTTTTGTGCTATTTCTTTAATGCATTAAAGGCCCATATGGGCTGTGTGATTGTATGCTGTCCCAGGCGAGAGCTGACAACTGTGAGAAAAACGTGGTGAAATCTTTAGTCAACCCAAAAAGAGTCCTACATTGATTGGTTGATTTAGAGTCTGGGGACCAAAGACAGCCAGCGACCAATTTCTCACAATGTGACTTCTGCTGAAACCCGTATAAAAACCATCCAATCTAAATAAGGCATGCCAATGTTTTTTGGCCCCGATCCTGATCTGAGTCCAATCTGATATTTACATTTACTTAATGTTGATTAAATATGTATCTGACTCACTGAAATAACAGCTAATCTATACTACTTCATCTATATACTGAAGGTTTGGTTCAAAACTATTAAAGAGCCACTGAATAGGATTTAGTGACATCTAGTGGTGTAGCTTCTGGTGTAGCCCTTGCCTCACTCTGCCATTCCAAGCGTGTAGGAGAAACCACGAAGGCCATGCATTTTTTAGAATGAATTAGCGACAGCTGATAATGGCCTGCCACCAGCCACTTTTGTCATTTTGGTGATAGCGACAGCTAAAATTGAGAAGCTGCTACCTGAATGTTTTGTACACTGCTCTTTGCTGATAAGAAAGAGGGGGGGACAGATAAAAGATTCTTTAGTGTCTGAGTTTAAGAATCCATGCATTTTTCCAAGCTCTCTGTCTGAAGTCAAATTATTTTCTACATCATGCATCATGCGTTTCGTTACGCAGCGAAATTCTCGCACAGTAGAGCCAACTGTGGTAAAGGAGAGCGGAACTGCAACACTATTAGAGCTGCTTCATTTTAGCCGTTAGCAATCCTGTGAAATATGCCCGAATTGACAACTCTAATTCTAGGCATTCATTGACCAATCTGACATGCCTCAACATTGTAATTATACAGTGTGGCACAACAAAGATTGACCTTTAAAATGTAAATTGTACAAAAACACCTGCATGAAAGCACCAAATGTTTGTAACAGGCTAAACCTGTGTTTAAATCATGATTGGCACACAACCTGTTTCTGTGAAAACTTGCCTGTCAACAGTCATGTCAGCATCCCCTAACACAAGCCCCTCTCTCTCTCTTTCTCGCCCTCCCTTTCTGTCTATGAGGAGTTTTCCAGAGCACATAGATTATAAAATGGGGCACGAATGAGCCAAGCTCTATTTTTATATGAGGATCAGCCATTTCCTGTTGTCACCTACAGGTAGTGAGGCTGAGATGTATGTCTAAGACAAGGCAGCAGTGGACACCCTCTGCTTGCTTTAGAGCCTGGCCCCACAAGCTGACCACTACGTGTGTGTGGGCAGTATAGAGACAGGGATGCAGGAAAAAAGTTATTTAGGAGAAAACAACATAACCATCAGTAAGCAGCAGAGGAGGCAGTATATGCAAGAAGATGAGAAACTAGCTGGAAGGAAGCGACTACTCAGTCACCTCGCCTCTTCTGAGAGTGACAGTGATGAGCTTATTCCTTGTCTGTGTCACGCACTCTTTTGGCATGCTTTTAAATTAAAAAAAAATATGAACATGCTTTTAGAGCACTAAGATATGTATAAAGGGGCCATATCATGCCACCTGCACTCCCTCCTACACAGCAAATTAGTACATCAGATACACTACAGAGAATAATGTGGGGATCATAAAATCAAACATGCATGATATAACACAAGAAGACAGCTGTTCTATTGTACAGCGCCTATATCAACACATTCATGTGACTGCATGTGCGTGTATGTGCGTATGAGAGAGAGGAAATTCTCTGAAAGAGGTCAGTGTGGAATGCAGTAAAGCTATTGACTGGTGCTGAGGAAATCCCCTCTCTCTCTGTTCACAGAGGCAAGGCACCAAAGTCTATTGCATACTAATCAGGGGCTCAGAAGATAATAGGAGATGGCGTATTTGCCATAATTCAAGATTTAACTCTCACATGTACAGATGATGCTCTCTCCTTTACATCTCATATGCATAAAACCACTCTTGCATTTGCTGCTTTCACATGTAATCTTCCGCATATTCTGTTGAAACCAACACACAGATGACCCCTAAAGAGACATATATACAATGTATTTATAGAGGGCTCTCACATCACTGAAGTGTAAATTGCTCAATAATAACATCCTCTTTAATATATAATTGTATTAAATCATATAAATTTCTTATATAGTATACATACTATATGTGCATATACTATATACACTATACTATAACCTATTAGATGTACTATATAGTGTGTGCGTGTGTGTGGACAGCAAAGCAAGGACATAATAATAAGGTATAAGGTAGAAACATTCACTCGATGCTGAGATGGGCTTCAACACTTCCTTGATAAAAAATTAGGTTTTGACAATAATATCATGCTAAAGCAATGTTACAATCACTGTCCAAGGTACAGAATGGACTGTATACCCTAAAACTGTCTCTAGCGCTGTCCAAGGTACTGATTAGTCTGTGTACCCTAATACTGTCTCTAGAACTGTGCACGCATGTTCTCACCAGAATTCCTGTTAGGGGCTCAATCCTGAAACCGACTGCTCATAAAGACAAAGCTATGCTCTTTCTCTCAATTTGAAGTTGTAGATTTTGTCTAGTTCTACGTTTTCTGAATCTAGTTTGTAACTTATACTGAATAAAGCCCTTAGCACTTAACCCTTTGACAATTTATTTGTCATAATTGAAATAATACTTAAGAGCTAATGGAGTACTTTGCAGCATTAACTAAATTAGACAAAACAAGTTGTGATAGTAACACTCTGTCATGGGTATTGCACCCCAAAGAGTTCCCCATCTCTCTTTTCACCCTCCTGCTACTTCTTCACACATTTCTTATTCCCATGTTCCTATGTATATAATATCATCCACTGGATTAGAATGTCACCTGGATCTGGTTTAATGTATGTTTATGTAATAAATCAATCAGACCATTTTTATTTACCAGCAAATGGTTACTAATTGCATGCTTCTCTTTTAATCTCAGAGACTGTAGACTCCTTGCCTCAGTGATTCAGAATCTCATGCATTTCATGCATTAGTTGATTACTAACGGCAGAACTTGATCATTATGTCAACATGCTTGCAAGCATTCAGTCTTGATTGGCCTAAAAGCACACCTTAATAACATTTGAAATGTATATTAAAAGTGGGTGAAACTGGACAAAATGAAGGACAGTGTAAAATGTTATGGGGCTGTAAAAGGTGCACTGATCTAAAATTCAAAACAAAAACAGCCACATTCCCACCTGCCCTGAACCCAAAATCGGTAAACACTTATTGCACTCAAGAGACCTTGAGATAATCCATCAGTATTTTTACACCCACTCTATCTCCATTCCCCCCACCCCGTCTTTCCAAAACTAATTGGAATACTCATGCAGGTAGTCTAGCAGGTTGTCACCCTATCTTTCACCCCCCACCTCTCTGTCTCACCTTTCTCTATCATTCATATACACTTAAACATACACCTGCAGCTACCACACACGGCCCCTTTTTCGATTAGCTCTGAATATCCTTCATGCCAACTATGGCACTGCGTATGCTACTAACTAGTTTCTTGTTTTCTGTTTGGCTTTTTCATTTGAGTACATAATTTACCATTTATTATCTATACATAGGTTCACATACATGTACAGCACAAATATACATGCATAAAAGCTGTGTTAAAGTGGTAAATGACACTTAAGTCCTTACACTGTACTCAGTCATTGGCCTTCAGGGAATACTTACCGAGGTATAGAGGTATCCTTCACTATTCATGGCAAGGTATAACCCTGTCTTTGCCCCCTGGATTGCCACAATCCGCAGTCCCACCGGAATTAAGTTGAACTGTGCTAAATTTGGGAATAAAGTAGGAGACATAGGGCACGACAAAGAGAGAGAAAAAAAGAGAAAGTCAGAGAAGATTGTGAAATCAAAGTACAATAATAAAAAGTAAATACAATACAAAGTAAAGACTGTATATACAGTTTTCTGTCTTCATTGTATTAGACTGAATGGCTGCAGTGTCACTGCCGCATGATATATCTCTTTTAAGCCCAAATTCTGTGACCTCTCAGAGTTTATGTTAATGTACCCCAACGTTATGTCACCTTCACTATGTTTTACCCTGCCTCTAAACTTGGATGATAATGGAAATGTTCTGCTACAATGTCACATAAAGCAGAGATAGTGAAACATGGATAGATAGTTCAACTCATTTAGAAATAATATCAGTTGTTGAATAAGTAGAATTCTAAAAAATCTTCCATATTCAAACCACAGTCTGATGTCTGAGTCTGGAACGTCAAATGGGAAAATACAAAGAATTTATACTGCAAAGAGAACGCTGAAAATTTTCAGCGTGCTAAAGGTCAGGATGAACATTCACATCATCTCAATGGTGGCAGTATGTCACTCAGGAGCACTTTAAACTCAGGCAGCTTTATGTGATAGAGTTGTGCTTTGAAACACAGTATAGATTTAGTTTTTAGAGATGAGCACATATGGCATTTCTGCATATGAACAAGGACACTTTCTATTGCCAAAGTTTGACAGGCAGTTTGACGTGATGTTCCTCCCTATTGAAAGACAAAAATAACAGTACAAATTGGAACAAATTTGACAGATGAGCTGACAAATTCCTAACTTTCAGCCACAGGGCCCCTATAGCACAGTGTTACACCTACTGTGGTTGTCTTTAGCTCAGTGCATACAGTACAGCATTAACTTTGCCAAAGTTGGAGATTTGGCTCCCCAAGAGGGTATGAGCTGTTCCATACTTGAGCTATACTGCAGGTGTTGGAGTATAGACACCTTATGGTTTCTACACTGTTCCTCTAACTGGTGCTAGTAGGGCTGTCGCAATAACCACAATGATGAAATACTGCGCTATTGTCGTACCCATGAAGCCACCGCCACAACCGTAATGTCACAACATCACGTCATGTTCAGTATTTGTTTTTTAAGAAGGAAAAGTTGACTTGACTAGACTTAACATAGCAAAAGCGCTGTCTGAAACGCAGTGCTACTCAGTAACTCAGTTCACAGCCCAGGATTATAATACCACACAAGAGAAAGTCATGTGGCTTCTGCCTCACTCTGGAAACCCCTGACTGGAAACACCAGCAGTCTTTTAGTAGAACACGCTAACTGGTCCACTAATTATCCCAATTTGCCACAGCTGTGGGGTTTGTGTCCTGCGACTCACCAGTGTTTCTGTTTAACGAGTAACCCTGTCAGCTGACGACTTATTCTGTTAAGAGGCAGGAGAGTTCAGGTGATTAGTACAGGCAGGTACTGAGATGAAAGATTGTAGTGAAATGTTGGACCCCTTGCAAAGTAGTTTGCTAAAACAACAAAAATGGTGATAATACTGCATGCTGCACTTTTGAGTGGCCCTAAATCAGTTTACTGAGACTAGATTATGATTAAATTAAGTAAGCAATAGCTCACTACAGTCTGTGGTATATTGTATATATATATATTGTGATTATATCACAGTTAAGGGGCACAGTGCGAAATAGTTACAAAGTATGGCAATATGAAAGTTATAGACACATTCCATTTTAAACCATTTTTATTAACATGTTCGTAAAGCATTAATAAAGCATTCTTACAAAAAATAGTGCCTCCCATTTGCCCATCTTATTATTTATCATCACAGATTGATTTCATCATTTGCCTTTTATCTAATTTGTATGTTTCCATTTATTGTGCAACCACTGAAGAACTGTCCAGCAACCATGGGATGACTAAAAACTGCTTGTAGACTTGCATTGTTTGTTAGGTGGAGGTGTGTCGCTTGACGTGGCCACTTTCTCCAGGCATCAAGCTTCAGTCGCCAATGGCTCTGATGAGAGGTTTCGCATTTGTGGCCACTTCCGGCCATAATCTCTCTCGTGTCAAGACTCTGAATGGTGGTGCTGCAGAGACAGTGATTCGTATGTTTCTTCTACGTTCCTGCTTGCTTACATATTCTGGGCAACACTGTCGCAAGATGACTGACCCCACTGGCTCTCGATTGTACCTGTAACACACATGAAATGACACTTATGTAGTTAAAAACAAAAAAGCATTTTGCTTAGGTCAACAGCCAGGATAGCCAATAGACTACCTACATACTGTACAGTTATATATTATATAATTTTTTAATAACTGTATGGTAGGTTACTGCAGTCTGAGCCAAAATAATATGCACTAGGGCTACTTACCAAACATTGTTGACTCGCAGATCACTTTTCTTTTAGGGGGAAGGCTGGTGCGTCTGTGGGTAGGTGGGAGAGATATTTCTCCATAGATGAAAAAGGGCAGAGGATCATCAGGCTGTTCATACAAGAATCCCCTTGTGCTCTTTTTATTCTTCTCCTGTGGGTCATTTTGATTCTTTGTTTGCTTGTTAAGGCCACTGTTGCATACTTAAGCCCGTTTTTGAAGGTGAATGATGTGGGTTTAAGCTGTTGATTGCCCCCATCTCCCCTGCGCTGAGTGTAGTTGAACGTCAAACCATACGTTGTTTACTAGCCCCTGTGGAGTGTTGGGATCCAACCTTCTTTATCGTTTTGAAGTTATCCTGTGATATTGACACATGATGAAC